CCCTCTGACCCTCCCCCCTCTCATGTGCTCTCTCTCTCTCATTCTCTCTGTCTCAAATAAATAAATAAAATCTTTAAAAAAAAAAAAAAAAGAAAAGAAAATACTTGCTGATCAAGAGTAACTCTTGTGTTGACATAGATTTTTCAAGAATTCAATCCTGTCGAAATTATCCACCATCACTACTGTTAATGCTAACTATGCACTTACTCCTAAATATCATTAATTCCTCTGTTACTTAGGGCAAGAAATTTAACCTTTGCAGGCCCTGCATTCCTAAGTTCCAATGTATAATATGAGAAAAGTTTGTACTATATCCATAGTTTTATAAGTGCTCTGCTTTGGTTCTGTAGAGCTGCTTTTGGGGGCTTCCTGGGAAATACAGCCTTCTTCCCAAGTGAGCAGGGGTTCACACTCCCCTCTTAATTAGATCTACTTTTATCTTGTATATTGAGTTTCAGTATAAGACATCTTTAGAAGAAATCATTCCACAGTTTAAAAAAATAAGATTTTTAGACTTTGTGATCTCATAAGATTTTTTCCAGCTCTTAAAATCCCCTCATTATAGCATGTTACATACGTAAAGGAAAAATCCAGGTCTTCATTAGTGCAGTGTTGTGTGGCTCTGGTACTAGATGAAGTCCCAAGATACTGTGGAAAAACAAGAGAGCCTTCCTACTCCCTGGTTACCACTTCATTAAGCTATATCATAATCTAGACAATTTACAGATGTTTAGTTAAGTATAAGCTTAAGAAACTGCATAAGTTAATCAGTTTGTGATTATATTCCTTTCATTCATTGCATTTTAGTCTTTTAAGCTTTGCTTTTATTATTAACCTAGGATTTTTGCAGCAAATGTATATGCTCTCTAATACATGCAACCCACACTTCATCAGTGTCCGTTGATTACCAAGAGACTCATCTGTATTTTAGGTAAAGATAAACATTTACCATGCTTAGGAAAGATGACTAAAAACATAAACAATATTTATTCAGGTTTTTTTCATTTTTTTGGAGTTCTAGTCGGACTTGCTAAGCAAGAAGGTTCTGGGAGAAGGACTTGCAAAGAGAAAACTGAAGGACAGAAGAGTGCTGTGGGAGTCTGTGTTGCAAGAAAAAATGGGAAAAGGGATTAAGCTCCTGGATTTTAAATAGTGTTACCAAGGATTTCTTCCCACCCAAAGAAAATGGAGTTAAAACTCTGTCTAAATGCTGAACAGACATCCCTTTTCTTAATCTTTTGCTTTCATACTCTGAGTACTGTTATTTGAATTTTGGAGATGCTTGACAAAATGATTCCTGGATAGGTAGAGATTGACATTTTTTATTAAAAAAAAAAAAATGACCTAGTATGAATTAGTATTATTTCTTTTCGGTTCTTATTATTACAAAAAATGAAATTTAGATTATATTTAGATAATATTTTAGATTAAAATTTTAGATTAAAAGGCATAATTTTACAGGAATTTTGATTTTAAGCTATTTGGGCATTGCTGGTTGGGAACTGAATTAAAATTTAAGAAATTATGTGCAGTTCTTATTGCCATCTTTTATGAATCATAGGGTTCTTTATTTTGGTCCTCAACAAGAGTAGCTTAGAAGAGGGCCTTCCAACTTTTTTTTTTTTTAAAGATTTTATTTATTTACTTGACAGAGCGAGAGATAGCGAGAGCAGGAACACAAGCAGGGGGAGTGGGAGAGGGAGAAGCAGGCTTCCCGCTGAGCAGGGAGCCCGATGTGGGACTCAATCCCAGGACCCTGGGATCATGACCTGAGCCGAAGGCAGATGCTTAACTACTGAGCCACCCAGGCGCCCGGGCCTTCCAACATTTTGATTATCGTTCTTGGGCTCAATAAGGAGTAGAACTTTGCTCCATCGAATTTTCTTCTCTGTGTTTTCCTGGTTTGCTTTCCTTGACTTTTCTTTTTTCCATGTCTTCTACACAGATTGGCGAGGAAATGAGCCAGAACAGTTTCATAAAGCAGTATCTGGAAAAGCAGCAGGAGCTACTTAGGCAGCGTCTGGAACGTGAAGCCCGAGAAGCTGCAGAACTTGAAGGTAAGCCCAGACTGTCACAAGGAGTTTTTCATTCTTACTCCTGTCACTGAGTAGATAGGCCTGTTTAACTAGGCAATTTCAGGAATAAGGCTGAAACTGCTACTTACTTGCTTTGGTAGTTAAGCCAAGTGAGTTGTTTGTTTACCTTTCGTCAGGAAAGAAAACACGTAATTTAACTATCTGTTAGAAGAGGATTCCTGCCAACAGGAAGAATTATAAGTAAATTAAGCTACCCTTTAAATGAGGTAGATCTTAATCCCAGGGAGTTTTTCTCTATGTACTGTGCTCTTTTTAGTATATATTCTGTGTCCCGTGACTTTGCCTGATCTCCTTCACTCCTCTACATATTCCCACATGCTTAGCCCTTCACTCCCTCCCTGCCCCGACCCAATCTGTACTTTGCAGAAGCTTCAGCTGAGTCGGAGGACGAGATGATCCATCCTGAGGGAGTGGCTTCCCTGCTGCCTCCTGACTTTCAGAGCAGCCTGGAGAGACCAGAGCTGGAGCTCAGCAGACATTCGCCCAGTACGTATCTCCCTCCCCACTGCGCTGTTTTGTCAATCCTGCGTAGTTGGTGGGGGGAGGTAGTTAGGCCTCCTTTCATGCTAAGCCTCCATTAGAATCCCAGGGAAATTCTGTGACATTGATACTTCACATCTGTTTATCATGGGAATTATGTCCTTTTGGAAGTCTGCTTTCCCCTCTATGTCGTGTTAACTCCTCAGAGTGTTTTTCTAAGGCAGTATGATGTTTCTTCTCTTCTGTATCTCTTTAACCTCCTCTATCTCTGGATTGAGCAGTAGTCACAACTCTTTGTCATTCCTTCACCAGTTGTATAGATTATCTATTGCACATCCAGTCATTCCCCGCCCCCAAATGGGTGTCTGCTGTAGTTTATTAATTCATCCAACAAATTTTTGTTAAGTGCCTGCTGTATGCCAGGCACATGCTAGGCACCAGGAATATAGTAGAAAAAAGACAAGTCTCTCCTTTAATGAAATGTATAGCCTAGTGAGGAGATGGACATTAATTAAATTATTATATAATTAGCTACCATTGTGGTGTGTGCTCTGAGAGGCAGTGCAGAACATCATGTGAGCATATTACAAGGAGCTCTAACTCCCTGTGTGGAGCTGGTTCAGGCAAGATTGGTTTTTTCACATAAAAATTAAGCACCCACTTTTGTATAGTATTTCAAGCAAACGTCTATAAATGCAGCCTTTTTCTTCTAAACTACGTAAGATGGTATACTTTTAGGAGAAAATGTGTATAAGACATGTGGATAGTAAGTAGATATGTTAAACCAATGTGTACATTAAAAGTATTTTAAATCATTATTAATGTTAGTGGTCATAGGGAAAGTGATCACTCCATATTTAATATTTTTAGAACGTGTGGAAGTTACTAGCTCTTCTGATTGATACAGAATTCCTTTTTTTTTTTTAATTTTATTTATTTATTTGAGAGAGAGACAACAAGCATGAGCGAGGGGAGGAGCAGAGGGAGAGGAAGAAGCAGACTCCCTACCGTGCAGGGAGCCCGGCATGGGGCTCGATCCTGGGACTCCAGGATCATGACCTGAGCTGAAGGCAGACGCTTAACTGACTGAGCCACCCAGGCACCCCTAGAATTCCTTTCTGAACATAGATTTTTAGAAGATACTTAATGGTAGAAGAAAAATAAGTTATTTTAGAGATCTCTTTTCTCCTCAAAAATAAGTTATTTTAGAGATCTCTTTTCTCCTCAAATACAAAAGTAGCAGAGCCTCAATTGATCCATTTTGCTCTTAGCACTCTTTTCCCTGATTGTAAAGCCAGGAGGAAGGGGAAGACTCTTCTAAATTAGTGTTTCTCCTCAAGTAAAAGTCAAGAGAATATTTATTGAATTTCTGCTATATACATATCTTCATGCTAGAGTATATGGGGAGTTAGCACTTTGTAAAATCTTTTCAGGAGAGAGAAGATAATTGCACATAAAGCCAACAACAGAAGATGGTGTGTTTTAAAGTGACATAAATAGTGCAAACAGACCAGAAAAATATAGAGTAAAAGTTCTCTGAGGACTAGAGTGATGAGAGAGAGCTTCGTGAAGAAGGTGTAGGATTTGAGCTGAGCCCTAGAAATAAGTAGGATTTGAATTGGTCCAGAGGAGACGAGAGTATTTTTAGGAAGGAACAAAAGCATAAAGATAGGGATGAATGTGATATTTTTAAAGGATAGGTAATAAACGAATCTAGCCAGAGTAAAGTATTCTTTCATATTCAAGAGTAGTCAGAGGAACAATTAAAAAGGTACATTGGGATAATATTGCAAAGGGCTTTGAGTATCAAGCCAATGAATATGAGATTTTTTAGGGGGGAAAAATAGTAGGGGGGAAGCCACTGAAAATTCTTGGTAGGGGGCGCCTGGGTGGCTCAGTTGGTTGGGCGACTGCCTTCGGCTCAGGTCATGATCCTGGAGTCCCTGGATCGAGTCCCGCATCGGGCTCCC